AATTACGTCACGTTGTTTACGAAGTTTGATTGGTCAGTTATCTCTTCTTCTCGTTCCAAATATGGTACTTTCGAAAATGAATAATCACGAGCATCGGACAGAGCAAACATATGAGAGTTACACGTTTCAACCCTTTAGGAGTTACTGCATATATCTAACGCGTGCTGTGCTATGAACCCGATTTTCTTTTTCATTTTTAGCAGTAATTACGGACAAGCTAAAAAAAATACTCTTTTTTTTTTGTTCGATCGAAAAGTAAATGTTATAAAAACTGCATGTTTTATGCACACTTGATGAATATGCATTTATTTTTACCTCATATTTACCTGCTAAGCCTGGGCTTAATTGCTTGAATCTGCTCGTGGCCGGAGAGCCACATTTATAGATGCTTAGTTACTCTATTCCTTGAGGTTGTTTTTTACTATTTATTTGACATAAATTCCCTGAACATACGTTTTGAAATGGGAGTTTTGAACACATTAAAATACACTAACAGCTCTACACTAGTGAAGAATTAACATCAATAAAATATTACTAATAATAATAATAATAGCTTATGGATATTTTATCAGGATTCAATGTTAAATATCACAAAGATTCATTGATTAGTTGTTTAGATTTACACTGCAACTTCAACGTCTAAAATAGTGATCAAAAGAAACCTTTTCCTGAATTCGTTGTAATGAAACATATATTTCCTGCAGGTGAATACGTCACGCTTCCGCGGGAATCGATCTATTATGTGATCTGAATTTTAAGGAAATAACTTATCTATCCTCCTTATTTATGGCGTTTTTACTTAGTGTGCTAGTTTTTCTTTTTTATCGAGAGAATTTATATGTAGTTGATGATTTTTAAAAGAAACAAAGATATACGAATAATAAGAATGGTATGGAAAATCTCCTAGAGTCCCGGTTCTTAATAAGCGTATGTTAACATCGACATCTACTTTTGTAACTTCTACTGTTTAGCACGTATTGCCTTTTTAGCGTAGCTCCACGCACGCGCGTGCGCGCGTGGACGGAGCCGCATAGCTAAGGAAATGTGGTAATCTACCCATCCGAGAAAATTTGGTAATCACGTGACCGTACGACCGTCAGTCCGCACCACAGGGAAACCAATGTTTACTCTAACACTTTCTAGCTAGTTTGGGAGCCCAATAGAAAACTAATTGCACATCAATGTTGTGATCAATTGACAGCTGTCAAAACAGGATATCCGCTGACCAGTATCAGCTGACCGTACCGCGGGCTCAAGCGTCGACCCATCGAGATCGAGTACTTTTTTGAAGTTATCCGCTGACAAATTTCCAGTTTCGAATGATCGCAGGTTCAAGCCTATTTTTTCCAATGATTCATATGAAATATGTTGTGTTTATGTCACTATGGCCCCGCACTGTCAAGATTTTGATTTCAAACTGACCTCGGACGCGAAAATTCAGCCACTTTTTTAAAAATAAAGGCGGGGAAGACTTTTCTTACCATGGTCACGCGTTGGTCACGCTCTACGTCCAATTTTTGTACTCTGATTGGTCAAAATTTGACAGGTGAGTTCATGCGGAAAATTTATGCAGCATCTTGAAAGTTGTTTACTTTGACAGCAAAAGCTGACAGAGTTTTGTGTCAACTTGTGATGTTTTTAACTGTCTTTTTCCACCGGATGTACAAAATGAAATACAGCTGCTATCAAGAGTCTTCTGTTATCCATGGCTGGTTTGTTTATTGGGTTTTTGGTTGAGAAATGCGTGGCTTGTCAAAATTTGCTCATTGCGTAAGAGGGTTTAAAAGTCTCAAGCAACTATGGCCTTCCTTGATATCTTCCAGGAACTGAATCTCGAATGGTAAGCCTGAGTAATTATTGTATTTAATGTTTGTTTTTGTTATATCTAATTTCATGAAGTCGAGCACAGTTTATGCGGCAAGTTTTTGCATGTTTGTTGAGATTTGAGTCAATGATCTGATCTAGTATCAGGTTTGATATAAGCTTACAGAACTTTAAAAGGCCTTCAGATATATTTTCTCACGGCAAATAGAAAAAAAACGTTCCGAAGAATATTTAGTTATAAATTTGGCTGTAGAAAGAAAACTTTGAGTGATTTTCTTGTTTCGAGGAGTTCATCTTTGAAAAAAAACAAACACCGGGAGGCCGAGGAGGCCGGCTGAAAGTTAACCTGAGATCAGGCGTCTTTTTTTTTTTTTTTTTTTTTTTTTCTTTGGCTCGAGAGGGAAAAAAAAATAACGCCTGATACATTTATTTAACAAGCAGTCAACCGCCCCCTAATTTACATAATCTAACGTTTGCTTGACCTGTCATGTTTTTAGCCAATAAGCGTTTACCAAACGGGAATCAAATTTTGGCGCGAATAATGTCTCATTTGAAGTCAGTTTTAAGGGAAAAAAATGTTTAAGTACGTCCGTGTTCAGATGGCGCTTCGTAAAAAAAAAAATTAATGTGTTGTTTTTGTGATGAAATACTGCTAGCTGGAGCTGTCGTACCTTTGTGAATAGCTACAAATAATAAAGAATTTACTGGTTAAAGCTCGTTGACTTCGCCTACGAAAGCAGTGGAAAAAAAATTAGGCTGAAGCACCATATTTCACGAACTGAAAGGTGTTGTGAAAGCGAAGATCGCTCAGAATAATTCGCAGCATGATTTCTGAAGGAGGAAATACAGTCAAACCAGGTCAAGATTCCATTCATGAATTGATTATTTGAAAAGTGAACTCGTTTGTCGCTTCTGTAACTTGTAGCCGGTATCAAATTGCATTCAAATGATCGGTGAAGTTTTGACTGCAACTGTTTTGGTGTACGATGAGATGGTAAATATTTCAATGGATGGAACTTCTATTTAGGCATTCTTCAAATTCAAGAAAACTGAGGGGGCAGAAATTTCACAACGAACTCGCGTGTGTATTCACTGCTTATCACGCAAGCAAAAATGCAGACTGAAATCAACAACAACTAACGGATGGCGTCATTTTAGCCAATCGGAACAGCGCAAATCATCGGCATTGTTTCCTATCCAATCAGAAAAAAGTCCAGATTCTGGCATTTTTACATGTGATCCGACAAAGAAATGTATCATGCCCTCTTCCCGTGAGAGACATAAAGGGATAATAGGGAGAGGGCATGATCTCAGGCTAGCTGAAAGTAAAACAAAATAAACTTAAGCTTAAGCTTTAAGCTTAAAGACTCAGGATTTTTAGAGACACTTTAATACTTGTCTTCGTGAATGAAAATTGTTGTCTCTGTAAATGTTTTACCGAATTATATTTCTTTTATTGGTTGTTAGTAGTCTCTCCTGCAATTTTTAATCGCTTGTCCGTGGTGTTTGTTTTCATCGTTCATGAACATCGCTTGCACGAGTACTTAGAAATGTCGCGCGTATCAATCGCTTTATAGGATTACACATCGTTATAACTGGAACCATTAAATAACAAAAAATAATGATAATAAATTCGTCATTATGTTGAAGCGTATCTCCATTAAAGTTCATTCAAACACTCGATCACACTGACAGCTCGCACTGAAAATGAGAACCGGCTGGCCGTATGGGTGATTTTAGAAATTTTTTGAACGGTTTCGCTAAAAGCCCACGATTGATCGTCCTGAATATTGAAAAATTGTGAAATGCCGTATTCTGTTCGAGGTCTGTATGATAAAAAGTACTGTTTCACCTCAGATGTGATGTATAAAAAGCTGGTTTACACACCCTCAGATTTGTTGGCAAAAATTTGTAAAGTAAACCTGTCGAACGCAAAAAAATGCGGCCTGATTTGTTTTCCAAGAATTTGTTTTCGAGGCCTAATCTACTGTGATCAAGAGCCATTATGGCTCTTGAATGTGATAGAAGATGTTTGCTATTTTTGGGGTGTACATATATTTAGGCTATCAACTCGATGTAAGATGTTTCACTCTAAAATAACTTATCCTTTCCCTCAAAAGTCACATAAATGTGCCCTTAAGTTAACTTATTTGTGGATTACAAGTTTATTGTTTGATTTAAAATATAAATTTATTAATGGGAGCTTCGCTTTTATCCCTGGCTAAACCTATATATTAAATTTGTCCCCTGAATTTTCCAATCACATCCGTAGTTAACTTATACAAAAGTATATGCAATTTTTTTTTATTAACACCTTCTGTAGATCGACAAACTGACATGATTTTGAAATGTAATTTTAGTACGTTTCTCCCTGTTATTGTTTAAATTTTGTTTAGGCGCCAATACTTTGTTCTCTCTCGTTGCTCCCCTTGTGTTATTTCGACTGGACAACTCAAGCTTTTAAAGGGCTTAATTTAAAGGAGCAATTAAGGAGGAATTTCCTTCTGACAAAGTAAATAACTCGAAGGTTCAATGCTTATGAGTCTTTCCTGGTAAATTCATTATAGAAGGCTTACTTGGGCATTTATGAGTTACCGTAAATGATCGGGTGAATGATCTAATGACAAATTGACAACCCTTCAAAACAAACGCCTCTTGGCTCATTAATAACCGCCGCTCTATGACTAGTATTATGTTTTCATTAGGCGCCCCTCGCTTTTAGCCAGGCAAGTATTGTCGGAAGCGCTCTGAAGATTGCCCAGTCTCAAGACAAATTTTGAAAAAACGCAACAAACCATCCGCATTATTTTGTTAAGCGTTGATGATTACAGAAAACTTATCCAAATAAAGACCTTTTACGCTAATGGAGATAAGACATATCTTTTCTCAATCGATTTCTTAATATAGACACCTGACCTTACAAATGACTTTAGACAGCTGTGCTGAGGCTTCGCAGGGGGCTAACAATTGTGGATAAAAGTTCTGAATCAAGTAGGATACGTAAAATACAGAGCAGTAATTGGAATCTACTCGAGTGCGTGCGTGCAATTACGCAGGTACGTCGCAAAATAAACATAAACTCAACAGCGAACGGATCCAGCGAGTTTTGGAGCTGCGTCTCTCAGTTACTTTCCAATGCGTGGAATATCGGAAGAACCGTTACTTACTGTCTGATCATCATTGTTTCACTGGCAGCAAATTCTCTCATTGTTATCATCGTTTATAAAATGCCGAACTTAAGAAAACCGATAAATTATTTCATCGCAAACATGGCCGCGTCTGATTTGTTGTTTCCAATATTCTCGGTACCTTTGAAATTGTCACTCTTGCACGCCAACTCGTTTCCTATCGATGGTCAGCTTGGCCAGGCCCTGTGTAAGCTTGTCCCTTTCTTTGGTAATGTTTCCATTGTCGTGTCGACTCAGAATCTGATTCTGATTGCAGTGGATCGATTTGGAGCAGTGGTATTTCCACTCCATTCGCCACTCATCAGATCCAAACTGTGTCCCTTCTTCATTCTTGCCACGTGGATGTTTGCCATAGTTCTTAGTTCGCCAGACTTGTTCACCGTCGGGCTTGTTGAATACCCAGGGGGAGCCTTGTGTGTACGGAGATGGAAGAAAGTATTCGCAGAGTCCTCGTCCTTTGCCAGTTTCCTACTAGCTTACAACATTGTGTTTGGATACATACCTGTGATGTTGTTAGTCATTCTTTACTCCACCATCTTTATCAAGCTCAAGACACAGGCACACCCAGGTGAACAGTCCACCAACAATCAGCAACAGCGGAAAAGAAGAAACAGAAACGTTCTTCAAATGTCCATTGCTATCGTAATAGTGTTTGTGCTTTGCTGGTTACCTTTCAATACTAGCCATGTCATCATGCGGTATCAGGACAGGTCTGCCCATTTCTCGTGTAGTTTTTGGATATACTTTGATGTAACCAACTTTATGACTCAAACCTACTGTGCTATCAACCCGATTATCTGCTTCGTTTTTAGTAGCAATTATCGAAAAGGTCTTAAAAGACTCATAAAATGTTCTTTTGTACAGGTGTAAGTTGCCAAAATATGCTTTTGATTATATGCATGAATATGTCAAGAGTTAGAGGTTCATGGAAAATTTGCCAATAAAACTATCATGACTGTTAATGTACTTTGAGAAATAAAATGTGTTCCGGTTTATGCCTCCCTGCCTCTGCCCCGCCATGACTGCGAAACAGGTGACAGCATAGGTGACGTATTGTAAGAGTTTGGGTGGTAAATACCGTATTTATTCGATTAACCGCCCTGGGCGCTTATTAAATTTTTGGACCTTGAGAGTGGGCGCTTATTCGAGGTGGGCGCTTATTCGAGGCTGGGCGCTTATTAAATTTTCACCATTTCCAGCAAGTGAAGTATGTTTATTTTGCAACAAAACAATGAATGCTAATAACAAAACGCGAAGAAGTAACAAGGCAAGCTTTCTGTAAAATACTCTGAAGAAAACTCCGTCCTCGGGGAAGTCTCTTATTAGAAGTTATTCACTCAAGTGGATGGGGTGGGGGTGAGCGCTTATTTGAGTTTGATTGGGAGGAAGAGGGGGTGGGCGCTTATTCGAGGCTGGGCGCTTATTAACTTTTTCTGCCTTTAGGATGGGCGCTTATTCGAGGTGGGCGCTAATTCGAGGTTGGGCGCTTATTCGAATAAATAAGGTAACTCTGCCGGATTCAGACCTTGAGGGGGGGGGGCGGTCATCCAGACCCTTAGATAAGATCGTGGCCCGGTCTCCAAAAAAAATGTTTTCGGTTTGGTCTAAAAATAAGGGGGGCCCGGGCCCCCCCGGGCCCCTCCCCTGCATCCGCCACTGAATTCAACTCTTCATCTCCAACTTTTCGATTTTTCAAGTCTTAGTTGAGCACATCTGTTTGCATGCTAACGTCTTGACGGTAAGTTGATCGATTTAGGTTTTTCACGATAAAAGCTCTGTCTATGGCACCCATAGAAGTAGGTAATTCATCATTTTATTCTTCTGATCAGCTTATCTAGTATTTTAACAGTTATGAAAAAAGTGATAATGAATGAAACATCCATGCACAGCGACGGAGAGCAATGAGAGTCGGCTGTATTCGCTGGCTTTGATAATTACAGCTGTTTAACGTTTTTTGTATCCCTCGCCAATCCTGGAGTAACTTTTAAACCAATCAGCACTACCCGGAGCTGGGTAGTGTTGCGTCATCAGTATGGAATTTCTGCGCAACCTCGTTCCCAGGGTTTTTTTCTTCCTCTCGCGAGGCAAAATGTAACCCTAACAACGAGGTTGATTGTTCGCGGACGGTTCATGTTCTTCAGATGTCATTTCGCGGGAAAACCAGTGGTGGCGTCGGCCCATGAGTTTAAAGGACATAATTACAGAAGACTTATTTATTTTTCAAATTTTTGTTTCAGTACTCTGCTAAAAAGAGGAGACTTTTTTTGTGTTTTGTTTTTTTTTTTTTTACCTTGCGCTGGAATTTTAAGAGTTCGCTCACTCTCAGGCTGACACGGATAGAAATCCTTACGACAAAAAAAACTGAGATTAAATGCGCTATGTTTAAATGATTCATACCTTTCGTGAACAATAACATAATGAAAATACGTGTGAAAATAACTTGCAAAACAATTTTTTGCCAGTAGTGTTTTGTTTCATTCTTCTTTTAGCAGGAGTTGTTTAGCAAGTTTCCTCAAATCGATGGTGGCGTAATCTAAACCGAGCAGGTGGTCTTAACGAAAACATTTCGCGAGTAAAGTAGATTCGGTTCATTATTAATGACGAGGACTTGAAAAGGAGTAATATGCATAAGGATTTTAAAGTTAAGCTTTAATTAGCGATGACTACTTGACTTTGACTTATGAAAATGGTTCTGTTTCGTAAGTTAAGTCTTTGGGGGTCCGCTACTCAACAATCCATTTCTTTCTATCTCTTTGTTCGTTTGTTTGTACGATCATTTTTGTTGCCATAAAGAAAACTGGACGTGTTAAAGCATTTCTACAAGTTATAGTTAAGTTGAAGTTGAAGCTCCAATTGTTAAAATTGATCAGCTAACTTTAAGTTAATATAGAGACTATGAAGCCGGCTTCTCTGTGGTGAGCTAATCATGCAGATAAATGACATTATTTTAAATAGATGGTTCAGCTTTCACAATTTTACATTTTAAAAAGAGTGTGGTTAAATCGACTTTGACAGAATTCTTTCATATCCGTATCACAACGACCTGAGTATATATGTTGTATTTCTTCTTTGGCGCCGGATTCAAGAGTTCATTCAGATTTCTTGCCATAGACAAAAACACGCCGGCCATGTTTAAATAATGGATATGTTCCTTGTGAAATGAAATCCTCAAAATAGCTCCAACGAAACAATTGTCAGCCATCATTGTCTTCATTCACTCTTCAATTTGCTGAGAAACGCTTGGCACGTCGCCCGCGTAAGACAAGTGTGCGTAGGCCTGGGCTAACACTAGCAGGTGGTCTTCACGAAAACATTTCATGAGCAAAGTAGATTTTGTTCAGTATTAATGACGATGAGTTGAAAAGGCGTAATATGCATAAAGATTTTAAAATGTAGTAGCGAACAATGACTAAGGGAAATAAATTTTATAATAAAACGATTTTATTCCTTTTGAGGACCGCGACAATGCATGTCATCATTTAATGTTTCTGTATTTTTTTTGTTGTTGTTTTGTTTTGTTTGTGTAATTTTTTGTCCAATATGTGATCATATTTTTTCCAGTTATCAAATACCAAAACTGGAATCGGTAAAGCTTTTTTGAACATTTCAATGAAGTTTAAAATGACGTTGAAGTTAGCAAAGGCTCAGATCAACCAAATGAATGCACATCTTTTTACCCAGAGTCGGGCAGCCAGTTAAAGTAATGATGTGAGCTGACTAAGCGGATAGTTAACAGTTTTATATCAATGGCTGCTCCGAGTTCAGTACAGTCAGTCTCGTCCTGCAGACACCTCGCTATAACGGACACCCCGATAATACGGACAGCGGCTAAATCCTAGATAAAAATAATTTGCGGATGTTTCAGGGGAATAAACTCACACTATTACGGACTCTCGCTACTCTAGGACCCCAGAGTGTCCGCTACAAAGGGACTTGACGTGTATTCACAAAATGTAAGCGTATCAAAGACCTCTCGGACGCAAACATGCGCAACTTGGTAACATCGAATTTTCATGAAAACTATGTTATAGCTTTATCTTTAGAGTAACTAGCGGGACCAGAAGTTTATACATTATAACGAAAGCTGTAGTACATCAAGAGTGCTCGCCGCGCGAAACATTTTGTAAACGCAGCAAGAATTACATATCATTTGCTTTTAAAAGTGCGAATGGAAACATCAACCACTATTGCTATATAACTGCATGACACTCCCAGAAAAGACAAATAACTTACCGTTCTACAGTGCCTTGTGTTGAATGAACTTAAACAATCTTAGTTAGGACAATTCCCAAAAGCTCAGTTCTCTATTGTAAACAGTTTTTCATTTATCCCTAAATAATGTAGTTGTCACTGTTATTTAATAACATGAAGTGTGGTCCAGGTGATTGGTTAAAGTGGTTCGGATATTAAGTGCTCTTTGTCACGTCGCCAATTTAGCAAGAAATACTTCACAGTGGCTTATGCTAAAAACGGGAAATACTACTGTTATTAACTATACTATTACGCAAACTGACAATAACACCTAATAAACTCTCTAACCATTTCTTTTCCCTGAAGGGTTTGCCAAAAATATTCTTGGCTTATGTATTCGGAGATCTTGAAAGGTGCTTAATACTTTAAGATAAGAACTCATGCATTGCTTAAGTGAAGTCATGAAATATACTTTTAAGAGATCTTTTAAGAGCCGTATCACTTTTCTTTCCGTCTAGCAAGCATCTGCCTTGAGAGGCTGTTTATTTTAACATTATTTTGTTTTAAAACCAAGTTTTCTTCACGAAATATTATACACAGAAGCATAAAGCGCTATCCTTTCACCGATAATAAGTTTTAAATGTGTGTAAGATAAACCCAAGGAAAAGACATTTCCTCTGTTTGAGGTTTCTCTCAAATAACATGTCGTGGTGCTACTAATGAGCAAGCTTAGAGCCCAAAGCAATGTATGCATGACTTTTTTTTTACACATGGCTGAGAGTTGTCAAAATTTGCTTCGTCCGGCTCGATAGACTGCAATTAAGTCCCCGAGGTTGCACGCGACGAGAAACAACCAATAAAATGGCGCAAGAATTGATTTGTGTTTTTCTTTTTTCTGATTGGCTCAAGCCAAGAGAAGCCCTGGGCGCGAGGTTGCGTTATTTTGATAGAGCAGTACTAAATGATGGAACATTTCGCGCGTTCGGCAAAAACGATCTAGTCCAGGGGGGCTAAAAAAACACAGCAAGGACAGATGACGTCTGCTATTTGAAGAATATCTTCTAGACTAAACATCGCTTTGTGTCCTAAACTCGCTGAGAAAAAGGCAAAATGAAGACGGAAACTTAACATCGGATCGAGGTAAGCATGTTTTAGCTTGTTTTGATCGCGCTTATTCCATCTCGTTCAATTCGTCAAATGTTGACAATTTTTTGTTGAGTTGAAGTCTAAAAGATTGTATCAAAGTTCAGGAAAAGAAAAAGAAAGTCGTTGTCTTGTGTTCGGTAAGCGCCAGCTCCACACAACACATGTGGGAGCTGTTGGCTGGGAACTGCACGGCACTTTTCCCACGACATGCGCGGGGAAGGCGGATCAGGAGTTACCCTAGTCTGTGTGCCAGTTGCTGCATCCTGGAAACGGAAGACTGAGGAGAATTTAATATTTCATTACAACTTTGTACAATGCTCTACAGAGAAATTGTTATTTGTTGTGCAGCATTTTTGCGGAAATATTCGTATATTTGTAGCCACTACGGTTTTATCTCTTTCTACGCTATGTGTTCTCCTGGAAATTTCAAAGTGTCTTTGACATTGACTTTGGTATTTAAAGATTCCCGCTTTTAAAGATTCCCGCTTTTAAAGATTCCCCGTTCCTCGTTCCCCGTTCCCCGTTCCCCATTCCCATTCCCATTCTCATTCCCCGATTCCCCGTTCCTTATTTTAAAGGTAG